GGCAAGCAAGTAGAACTATCTGGGAAATGGCGGAGCATCCGGTGGAGCAGGGGAGCTGGGCGGGGCTTCCGGCAGCGGCAACTGAGCCGCATGCGCCGCCCTGGCTGTCCCCGCCCAGTACACCATGTTGGCGTGGGCGGACCAACTGAGCCGCATGCGCCGCCCTGGCTGTCCCCGCCCAGTACACCATGTTGGCGTGGGCGGACCAACTGAGCCGCATGCGCCGCCCTGGCTGTCCCCGCCCAGTACACCATGTTGGCGGGGCGGGCGCTGACCCTGGAAGACACAACGGGAGACACCTGTCATTTACAATTTCCTAGTCGCCACAGAATGAATGAATGAATGAATGAATGAATGAATGAATGAATGAATGAATGAATGAATGAATGAATGAATGAATGAATGAATGAATGAATGAATGAATGAATGAATGAATGAATGAATGAATGAATGAATGAATGAATGAATGAATGAATGAATGAATGAATGAATGAATGAATGAATGAATGAATGAATGAATGAATGAATGAATGAATGAATGAATGAATGAATGAATGAATGAATGAATGAATGAATGAATGAATGAATGGAATAAGAGAATGAAATGAACACTCTTGTAGCCGTCTCTTCGGTCACACGTGTCAGGGTCCCTCGGGAGCACATTCCCAGGAGTGGAGCTGATGCCTCCAAGGGCGGACGCACGTGGACCGCACCAGATTTTGCTGAACTGCTCTCCAGAGTGGTTATGCCAACTTACCCCCTCCCCGGGCAGCGCTGAAAGTCCTCGTTGGTCCGCGCCTTCTCCAACACTCTATCATCAGGTTAAGCTTTTTTACCAATCTGATGGGAGTGAAACTTGCATTTCTGTGGTTGCTACGGAGGTTAGACATCTTTTCAAAGGATCATCGACCATTTCTTTTTCATGCCGTTATTATTCTTCTGTGTGGGTTCTCTTTTTTTCTTCAGAAATGTAATGGAGGTTTGCCTGTTTCATTATTTTTTCAAAAAACTGGCTTCAGTCTTTCCAGTTTTTTCTAGTCTTCATTGCTTTCCTATGTCATTAATTTCTGGTCTTATTATTTCTGTCTTCTTCCTTCTTTGTGTTTACACTGTTGTTCTTTTTCTAATTTTGTGATGTTTAGCACATTCGTCTTTTTTCTTTTCTAATATGAGCACAAAGGGCTATACATTTCCTTTTCGGTGCTGCTCAGATATATCCCACAGATTTTGTTACAATTCTAAGTATTTCCTAATTCCCTTTAGGATTCTTTGACCCAAGAATTATTCAGGAGTGTGTTTTTAAAGCTTTGTACTTATGAAGTTTGTTATATTGTTTAAGTTCTTGATATTTTTAACAAATTTGCACTGTGGTCAGAGAACATGGTTTGTATGTTACAGATTATTTTAAATTTATTGAAATCTACTTTTCACCCAAGACTTAGTCAGTTTTGATAAATGTCCGCATTTGGTTGAAAACAGTGTGTATTCTCCAATTATTGGGTGCTGAGTTCCATATATGACTATTTAATCCAGGTTGTTAATTGCATGTTCAGATCTTATACACTCTATTAATTAGTATGTTGTCTGCCTAATCTATCAGCTTCTGAGAAAAAAATGCTAGAATCAGTCACTATTCAATTTCATTTCACTTCAAGTCCAAAATTCTTTATTGAGTACCTATTATGTATCAGATACTATTCTTTTTTTTTTTAATATTGATGTCCCTTTATTTATTTATTTTAAGATTTTATTTATTTATTTGACAGAGAGAGACACAGCGAGAGAGGGAACACAAGCAAGGGGAATCGGAGAGGGAGAAGCAGGCCTCCCGCTGAGCAGGGAGCCCGATGCGGGGCTCGATCCCAGGACCCCGGGATCATGACCTGAGCCGAAGGCAGATGCTTAACAACTGAGCCACCCAGGCGCCCCTCAGATACTATTCTAAGACCTTATATCAGAGGACAAAATAGTTCCTTGACCTCACGGAACTTAAATTCTAGTAGAATATACAGACAACAAACAATAAAACATAATAAATAGGTAAGTTACATAGGGTATGTCAGAAGATAATAAGTGATATGGGGGGAAAAACATAGAGCAGAGTGAGGGAGACCAGAAGAGCAGGAGGGTGGGGTGAGTTACTGTATTAGAGTGGTAGGAAAGATGTCATTGAAAAAGTAAAACTTGAGCCAAGACTTGGAAAAGGTGAGAGCCTGAGTCAAGTATATATCTAGGAAAAGAGTGCTCAGGCAGAGGGAACAGCCAGTGCAAAGGCCCTGTGGCAGGGGGTTGGACCCATCAGGCAGCCAATGTGGCTAAAGCTGGCTGACCAAGGAAAGCATGATATTAAGGAGATCAGAGAGGTGATAGGGCCAGAACACATAAAGCCTTCTAGGCCACTCTAAGTACCTTGTTTGGCTTTTACACTGAATGAAATGGGCCCTACACACAGTTTTGGACAGAGGAGTATTTTAAAGGAATCAGTCTAGCTGTTGTGTTGAAATTAGACTAAAGATGGGTCTGGTTAAAAGCAGGGAGCCCAGTTAGTAAACTATCAAAGTCAACCAGGTAAGAGATGATGCTTGATTTTTAAAAGCCTAAGGTAGTCTAAATAAAGCTTCATCTCCATCTCTTTCTTGGCTTATGTTACTGTTTACTGTCATTCACAATTTCACTTCCATTTTGTTTTTATACCCTCTGAAAGAGTCATTAGCGTTATTATTATTGCTTTATATAGACATCTGTTTTTACTTACTCATACATTTAGAAACTTATTTGTTCACAATTCCTTCTTGCCTTTCTGTTCTTCCCTCTATGAAGAATTTCCTTCTGCTGACGGCATACCCTTTAGATGTTCCTTCAGTAAAGGTCTGTTCGTCGACAACTCTACTTGTATTTCTTTAGTCTGAGTTATAGTTTAGTTCCACTCCCCCTGCCTTTCTTCTGGCTTCTGTTGTTGATGTTAGAAAATGTGGTTTTAAGTTTCATTATGATTCATTTGCTGGTATTGTGTCCTTTCCCTCTGATTGCTTTTAATTTTTTTCTTTGTCGTTGGTGTTCTGAAGTTTTATTATGATATATGTGAATGTGGAATTAGTTTGTTTTTAAAATTCTGCTTGTAGGGGCGCCTGGGTGGCTCAGTTGGTTAAGTGTCTGCCTTTGACTCAGGTCATGATCCTGGGGTCATGGGATCAAGCCCTGTGTCAAGCTCCTTGCTCAGCAGGGAGCCTGTTTCTCCTTCTCGCTCTGCCCCTCTCCTCTGCTTATGTTCTCTCTCTTTCAAGTAAATAAATAAAATCTTTAAAAAAAAATAAAATAAAATAAAATTCTGCTTGTAGTTCACTGTGATTTCTGAATCTAAGGAAAATTCTGGACAATTCTCCACTCTCAGCAACCCCCTCTATGGCCTCCCCAATGCCCACACCCACTTCTATTTTTCCCTTCTGAAACTCCAGTTAGGTATATTTTAGGACTTTTCATTCAATCCTTTTTTTTTTTTAAGATTTTATTTATTTATTTGAGAGAGAGAGCACATGAGAGGGGGGAGGGTCAGAGGGAGAAGCGGACTCCCTGCCGAGCAGGGAGCCTGATGCGGGACTCGATCCAGGAACTCCATCCAGGAACTCGATCCAGGAACTCCATCCAGGAACTCCAGGATCATGACCTGAGCTGAAGGCAGTCGCTTAACCAACTGAGCCACCCAGGCGCCCCTTTTCATTCAATCCTTAACCTCTCTTTTATCTGTCCCATCTCTTTGTCTTTTTGTGCTGCATTTTAAGAAATCTCTTCAGATCTTCCTTCTGGATCAATGCTTTCCAACTAATCTGTTCTGTTCTTTCACCTACATTTAAGAGTTCTTTTTCCAAAGACTTTTTTTTCACTTCTAGAAATTCTACTTGATTCTTTTTCAAATCTGCCTAGACAGTCTCCCATTATGTACTCATGGTTTTGATTCCTTATTGTTTAATTATATTAAACATATTCCCAAGAATGACATGAAGTCCTTGAAAGTCTCATTCTACTGTCTGACATTTCTGTGAACTCTTGTTCACATGTCCTTTTTTTTTTTAAAGATATTATTTATTTATTTGAGAGAGAGAATGAGATAGAGAGAGCATGAGGGGGGGAGGGTCAGAGGGAGAAGCAGACTCCCCGCTGAGCAGGGACCCCGATGTGGGACTCGATCCGGGGACTCCAGGATCATGACCTGAGCCGAAGGCAGTCGCTTAACCAACTGAGCCACCCAGGCGCCCTTGTTCACATGTCCTTATACATTTTGTTATTTTGCATTGAGAGCTCAAATTCCATAGGCCGCTTCATGTGGGAAACTTGTGTGACCTGGCTAGAAAGTATATTCCTCTGGAGAAATTTCAAGTTTGCTTTCTAATCGTATCTAATGATGTCCCATACAATATTTGGGTGCTCTGGTTTGGTGTTTCTCAATATTTAGAACATACTTATTAAAAAAAAAGATTAGTCATCTGACATTCAGATTTATCTGGATTCTTATATTTTATCTGTCAATGCTGCTGGTGTGAAGCCAAAGTCTTGTCTTTGTTGTTAAAACTTCAGCATCTTACTTATCAAGATGGGCACACAAAACAAAACAGAACAGAATACCAATGGAAAAATCCCCTCCATCTCATCATTCTGGCTTCCATTTTTTTCTTGGTTTTGATTTCCTCTTGGTTTTTGGCCCTTGGGTTTTCTCTTACTTTCAAAGGGAAGTCTCAGGATTGGTCTTTTTGGAAACAAAAGACTAAAAACCGCACAGGCCACTTCTGCTTCTTGAATTCCCACATACCTCTACTAAGGCAACCAGAAAGATCTAGTGACCCAGTAGAATGGAAAGAGGGCAAAATATAAAGGAACAAAATATAAACTGCTATTTCAGCATATGATTCATCTACACAGGTAAAGGGTTTGTCTAGAGCTATTGATTGTGTGAAGTCATTATTGCACTAATTGAAAAAGACTCCTTTCTTCTCATTGTACTACAGCAAAGCCTTCTTGGCAAGCTCAACAGGAGCCAAGGGACCCTCCCCATGGAGAGACGCTGGGTGATGGAGGCAGCCAATGGCTGTAAGGATGGCTTGGACTTCAACCCCATGAAAGAGTACATGGTCCTGAACAATTCCCAAAGGATAGCTATTGCTGTGCTGTGTACCTCCCTTGCCCTGCTAAGTGCCCTGGAGAATCTGGCTGTGCTCTACCTGATCCTGTTCTCCCACCGGCTCCGCAGGAAGCCCTCATACCTGTTCATTAGCAGCTTGGCTGTGGCTGACTTCCTGGCCAGTGTGATCTTTGCTTGCAACTTTGTGAATTTCCACGTCTTCCATGGCATGGATTCCAAGGCTGTCTTCCTGCTGAAGATTGGCAGTGTGACCATGACCTTCACAGCCTCTGTAGGCAGTCTACTGCTGACCGCCATTGACCGCTACCTCTGTCTGTGCTACCCACCTACATACAAAGCCCTACTCACCCGGGGGAGGGCACTGGCAACTCTGGGGATCATGTGGGTCCTCTCAGCATTGGTCTCCTACCTGCCCCTTATGGGATGGACTTGCTGTCCTAGTCCCTGCTCTGAGCTTTTCCCCCTGATCCCCAATGACTATCTCCTGGGCTGGCTCCTGTTCATTGCCTTCCTCTTCTCTGGCATCATCTACACTTATGGGCATGTCCTCTGGAAGGCCCATCAGCATGTAGCCAGCTTGGCTGAACACCAGGACAGGCAGGTGCCAGGAATGGCACGAATGAGGCTTGATGTGAGGTTGGCCAAGACCCTGGGGGTGGTGCTGGCTGTGCTTTTCATATGCTGGCTCCCGGTACTGGCCCTCATGGTCTACAGCCTGACCACCACCCTAAGCAACCAGGTCAAGAAGGTCTTCGCCTTCTTCTCCTTGCTCTGCCTTGTCAACTCCATGGTCAACCCCATCATCTATGCCCTGCGGAGTGGGGAGATCCGCTCCTCTGCCCATCACTGGCTGGCCCACTGGAGGAAACATCTGAGAAGACTCGGACTTGAAGGAAACAAAGAAGTCCCAAGGTCCTCAGTCACTGAGACAGAGGCTGATGTGAAAATCACCCCGTGGCCAGATTCCAGAGGACTAAACTTTTCTGAATGCTGATGAGTCCTCTTTCACAGTTTTAAACAAACTGAGTCAGAATCATTTCGCTCCCTGGAGGAGAGAGAGCAGCCTTGATCCTATTGTCTTATTTGAGCCAGGCCCCAGGGCTTGGACACTTACCCCTTTTCACTGATGACTGATGGCAATGACCCTGGCAGGTAGCCTGGCCGTGCCTATTTGCACACAGACTGTTGGATAGCTAGGCCCTGTGAGAAGTGGTGCTCAAGCGAGAGGCTTGAGCAGGCTCAGTGCACGTTTGGGTTAGGAGAACCTCCCCGACAAGATGGCTTAGTGCTTGCATCCTCCAGAGACCACAGGAGCCAGATGGAGCCTTCAGGCTCAGCAATGAGAGACTCAGAGGAAATCTGAGATGAATGGATTATTTTCCTGGCATCTCAAGATGTCAGATGGGATGGCTGGCCAACCCCGTTCTTGCTTGATTCTTGGGATCTCCTTGGCTCTAAGGCAATGAAAGACCCCATTTTCTGGTCACCTTTTCCTACTGAGGATCAAAAACTTTGATACAATAAGGATCAAGAGTGTTGATCCACCTCTTTCACAGCTAATTGACAAGCCTCTAGTTCAGGGAATCTTGTTATTAGGGCAATGGCCCCACTTGACATTCTGATAATCTCCATTCACGGCCGCGGTGACCTCCTAGGTTCCTGGGGAATACAGGGGAGGCTGGGACTGGTTGAGACACAGAATTTTCAGAGAATTTTGTGGACCCTCTGAAGTCCTTCCACTGGAAGCAGGCAACAGTCTAACTCCAAGAAAAAGGAAGACATTCACTAAGATTTCATAAACCCCCAAATTGTTCCCAGTTGCCCCTCAGTTCAGCTCCTTTGTCTCCTCCACACCCATATAACAAAAAATAAACAGAGCAAGTGGGAGGAGGGGGAAATTCCCTTACTACGTGCCAGGCATGGGACTGACATCCCACAGTCCATTATCTCCAGCAAGAACATAGCCCCATGCTTTTGAAGATTCCAGGACATCCATATTTTACTTATCAGGGAAGGTAGGTTCCTACCAAAGCAGCTTACTTAAAACAATAGACTAGAGAAATTGTTGGTGCAGAGGATAACAGGAATTCTAATGAAATTTGTGGGACCATAGACAGAATAAAAGGAAAGATATTGATTAAACAGGAATATTAAAAATATTCACTTACTATTTACAAGACAAGGTGTCCACTAATGCACCCCTCTCACAAATACGTGCCAGGCTTTGTGCTAGGTCCTGGTTGTGCAGCCATAAACAAGACTCTGCCCCTGTCTAATGGGGCTTACATTCTACATTCAGGTGGGAAGACAGCCACTAAAGAAGATAATTCCTGGTGGTACAATGAAGGAAATCATCAAAGTCATGTGATAGGGATTCACTGAGGCAACTTTAGGTAGGGTACCTACTATGTGCTCTGGTCGTAAATGCCACAGCTGGCTTTTATAGAATCTTTACTATGTGCCACACACTGGGATAAGTGCTTTCAAATGAAGTATTTTACTTAGTCTCCACAATAACCTGACCACAAGGGTCCTGGTACCCTCATTTTATGGATAAGGAAACATTTAAGAGGCAAAATCACTTGTCTGAGATCACACTGCCGATATGTATCCAAAGCTGGGGTTTCCACAGCCTGCCGCCTTTACCATTAACCTCCTGGCCTAGTTCAGCCAAATGCTGCTTGATTAGGAATAATACTTGATTTCTATAACATCAGATTGCTGCAATCTTAACTCACCATTATTTCTCAACCTACTTCATTTTATGTCCTGCTCAGTTGGTGGAACATGCCACTCTTGATCTCAGGGTTGTGAGTTCAAGCCCCACGTTGGGTGGAGAGATTACTTAAAAATAGAAACCTTTAAAAAAACATTTTTCCACCAAGTGGCCTAAAACGACAGAAACTTATTCTTTCATGGAAGCTTCTGGAAGCTAGAAGTCCAAAATCAAGGCATGACCAGGGGCATGCTCCCTGCAAAGGTTCAAGGAGAGTATCCTTCTTTCCTTCTTCCAACTTTTGGCAGCTCCTGAAGTTCTTTGGCTTGTGGCAAGATAACTCCAATCTCTACCTCCATCTTCATAGGACACTCCTCTCCCCACCTTATCTCTTGGTGTCCTTTTTTAAGGATGTCATTCATTGGATTAAGGCACATTCTAATCCAGTATGACCTCATCCTAATTTAACAAATTACATCTATAAAGACTATTTCCAAATAAGGAAACATTCACTGGTTCTGAGTGTACATGAAATTTGGGGGGGACATTATTCAACTCAGTACAGCCCCCAAGGACAAAGTCAACTACTCAATTACAGCCCATATCATGGACTGTGTTAAGTGGCAGTCACTTGCTAGTCTTTCCCCATGAGATGAGCTCCACGTTCATCTCTTGGTCCCCAGTGCTCCTTGACAATCCAGCATAGAGCCTTTTTTTTCTTCAAAATTTTTATTTAAATTCTAGTTAGTTAGCAGATAGTGTAATATTGTTTTCAGGAGTAGAATTTAGTGATTCATCACTTACATGTAACACCCAGTGTTCAACATGACAAGCGCCTTCCTTAATACCCACCACCCTTTTAGTCCATCCCCCACCCACATCCCTCCATCAGCCCTCAGTTTGTTTGCTTTTGTTAAGTCTATTATGGTTTGCTTCCCTCTCACTTTTTTTTTGCCTTCCCATATGTTCATCTGTTTTGTTTCCTAAATTCCACATATGAGTGAAATCATACCGTATTTGTCTTTCTCTGACTGAATTATTTTGCTTAGCATAATACACCCTAGCTCCATCCATGTCATTGCAAATGGCAAGATTTCATTCTTTTTGACGATTGAGTAATATTTCATTATATATATCCCACATCTTTATCCATTCATCAGTCGATGGACACTTGGGCTTTTTCCATAATTTGGCTATTGTTGATAATAGCATAGAGTCTTTTTTTAATATATTTTTTAAAGATTTTATTTATTTATTCATGAGAGACAGAGAGAGAGAGAGAGGCAGAGGGAGAAGCAGGCTCCCAAGGAGCAGGGAGCCTGATGTGGGACTTGATCCCAGGATCCTGGGATCATGACCTGAGCCGAAGGCAGACGCTTAACCATCTGAGCCACCCAGGCGCCCCTAATATTTTATTTATTTTTGAGAGAGAGAGAGAGAGAGAGCATGAGCAGGGGAGAGAGGGGTGGGGAGGGGCAAAGGGAGAGCAGACTCCCCACTGAGCAGGGAGCCCGATGCAGGACTCAATCCCAGGACTCTGGGATCATGACCTGAGCCCAAGGCAGACACTTAACTGACTGAGCCACCCAGGTGCCCAACAGCATAGAGTCTTAAGAGAACGGGTCAATATCTGTGGAATCAAACTGCTCCCGAAAAGCATTTTGGAATATCAAAATTTATTTTAATCCAGATACCTATATTTTTGTAAGGCAAAGACATGGCATGAGTTTTTAAGGTAAATTTGTGATTCCTTAAAGTTTGGGCATACCCTTCTTTATTCATTGGTGGGGTCTTTTTTTCCTTTTCTCAAAGAAAATGCCCAAGTGCCTGGCATATATCCATACTCAGTAAATATTTAATGTTTAATGAATAAAACTAGAGTTTAAAAATCATTGAATTAAATGCACTTCCACACTTCCTCTATTTCTCTTTTCACATTCACACTCCATTTCTGCTCTAAATAGAGAACTAGTTTATGGAGGAGAGCAAGCAGAGAAAGGGGACCCTGGATGTGACAGAGAGCTGCCCTCATTGTTCAGATGAGGGAACGGACCCAGACAGTGGACAAGACTTGCCCAAGAAGCCCCAACAAGGTGGTATCCAGTGCTAGACATGCGTGTTTCCCAATTTCCAGCTTTGTCCACTCTGTTGTCATGTCTCTCATCTGTCCCTGCAGATTTACATGTTGGTTATGAGGATAAGGAGAAGTGAAGGTCACAGTGTCCCATTTTATCTTCCCCATGATGAGTTCTCTAACATCAAAGACCATTAGTCAGTCTGATCGCTAGAAGGTGTGTGCAAACAAAATGGGTTTTGTTTTGTTTTGTTTTTTTGAGGTATCCCTGCTCACTGCTCTGGGCACTATTTCAACATAATCTTGGGGAGAAAGAAACACCGAAAATAAAATAGCTGTTCGACGAGCAACAGCTACTGTGTTTCCTTATCACTCCTAAAATGAGGAAGTGCTTGGTTCTGTCAACACAGGGCCCAACAACCTCCGAGGGTGCAAGAGGGAAGGGCTTTTTGAGAGGCACAGATTGCACACCAGGATCCTTGGATTCTGGTCCCAACCCTGCTCAAACTAGCAGTGTGATCTTGGGCGCCTCCAATCCCCTCTGTGGGTCTCAGTTTCCTCCTCCGCAAAATGGGAAGAGTAGGGAAGGGGATAGTGTCGAGGATCGCCAAAGTCCCTTCAGAGACTCTGACATGCTGCAGTTCTCTCGCTGATAGGTGAGGACTGGCTGTGCCAGGTGGAGTCATTAGACCTTCCCCACCTGATGACCTCACTTCCTGTTTGAGCACAGAGCGTGTACAAATTGTAGAGGAACCGGTGACCTCCCTGGCAGAGAAGGTTGACACGGGCACTCCTTGGGCCTGGGGCTCTCGATTTTCTCACCCTGCTACTATAAATACGTTCTTTTGTGGCAGTCTGTGCATGGGTCTTATTTTCCCAATTAGACATTAAGCTCTTTGTATTGCCTCAGAATTCCCAAAGCAAGCTCAGTAAATATTAGACAGGCAAAATGATCACAGAGGCTCTTCCTCATTCAGTGCCCACCTTTCTCCCTCCGCTCCCTGGTAATACCTCCTTCCCCCATCCCTCCTCCCCGTTATTTCTGCCAGGACTGTCACAATGCCTTTCCATCTGGTATTCCTGCCTCCTTGCTCTTCTATACTACAGTTCAAGATGTCCCCTATGGCTCCCAATAGCAAAATGGACTACCCCCAGCTCTCGGCACGCACTGGGCCTTTCACACCCCCACGACTGAACCCCGCTGTGAGGTCTCTTCCCCAGTGTTCGTTCATCCCTCCGCGGAGCGCGGTCAACGACGCTTTGTGTTTTTCTCCCTTTGAGCGCCAGGGGGCGCTGCAGGAACGGCCGAGCCGGAGGGGAAGACCGTCGCCAAGCAGCCTGGGTTGACACGCCCCCTTTCCCTTCCGAGCCAATCATTAGTGAGAGTGGGCGGAACCGCGCGGCCTATACCTGCGCGTTAAGAGGCGGCGGTGGAGGCTCGGAGGCAGCGACGCGGACCTCCGACATGAAGTCGAGGGCGGTGGGCCCCGGGCGGCTGCTGCTGCTGCTGCTGCTGGTGCTCCGAGCGGCGTACGTGCGCGGGGCCCAGCGTCCGCGCCGCTACACCCCGGACTGGCGGAGTCTGGACGCCCGGCCGCTCCCGGACTGGTTCGACAAGGCCAAGTTCGGGGTGTTCGTTCACTGGGGCGTGTTCTCGGTGCCGGCCTGGGGCAGCGAGTGGTTCTGGTGGCACTGGAAGGGCGAGGGGCTGCCGCAGTACGAGCAGTTCATGAGCGACAACTACCCGCCCGGCTTCAGCTACGCCGACTTCGGGCCGCAGTTCACGGCGCGCTTCTTCCACCCGGAAGCCTGGACCGACCTTTTCCAGGCGGCCGGGGCCAAGTGAGTGTCGCCGCGGGGACCGGCGGAGCCCCCTTCCCGGCTCGGCCTGACGTTAGGCAGGTGGGGACCGAGTGGGGGCGGAGTGGGGGAGACGAGCCGGCTCGCCCGGGGTCGCTCAGCTGCCGGTCTGACTTCGGGTGCCCGCGGGTCCTGTGATTTGCCTCCCGAAGGATGCAGACCTGAATGTGGCACGACTGATCGATCACGCGAAGGAGGCGCGTCTGCTTGAGGGTTAGAAAACAGTAAAGGTTTTCGGGGAGGTGGTGGGCTGGAAAGCCCTCGGTGTCTACGCCTGTATATCGAGACGGTCGAGCTGTGTGATACCTAATGTCCCTTCCAGGTCATCAAGACAATCAGGATTCCAGAATTTTCATCCACTGGTCTGGCGTTTTGTCACCTCCCTGCAGCCTCCTTCCATGGTGATACAAAGGGGTTGTATTAGTTCCTTTCAGCTCTAACGTCTCCCAGAGGAAAAGGGAGGGAAAGAAAGTGCGCAGTATATTTGGACAACGGGACCGATTCTCACTCACCTGCTCTTCTCAATGCCTTGCACACAGAGAGTGCCCAAGAGATGTTTGAACTATTTTGAGAGCTGTCTAAGCTTGCGTGCGGAGGATTCAGAGAAGAAAGTGTGGCGTGGCGTGCTGAAGTGGGGAAGGGAGAGGCTGTTGAAGGCTGGGGCCAATCCGGAAGGACTAATCCTCGAGGGCAGTATGTTGTCAGATGTGAAGTCGGAGAATGGTTGCCCCCAGCTTCTAGAAGAGTTAGCTTGGCGGCCAGGAGGGAAGCGGGTTGGAGGAGGGTAAGAACGGAGGCAGGGAGGTTTTCCAGCTCCTGGCTTAGAGCGGTCTTCCACCCTTACCTTATCTCCTCAGTCACCTCCTGGGTTTTAGTTTCCCTTGGACAAGTTTTCTTGTACTAAAGAAAATTTACAGCTGATGTTTAGTGTTTGCCGATAAATGAATGGGAATATAAGACTCAAATAAACACAGGTGGTGGTCACTGTCTAATAGGAGCCTTAGAGATCCCTAATTTACAAATTAAAAAAAAAATTGAAATCTGGGAGACCTTTGTCCAGGCCCCTTATTTTGTGGCCCAGGTGACAAGCCCAGGTAGAGGAAGGGAACTAATGTCCTATGTCCAAATCTCATGACTCCAAGGCAAAGGTTCCTTTCACCATACCAGGGGTTTGCAAACTGGCCAGAGAGATAGGTCCTCTGCCTGTTTCTGTAAATTCCATGAGATGAGGACGATTTTTACATTTTAAAAAGGGTTAAAAAGAAAAAGAATATGCCACAGAGAGGAATGGAGCCCACAAAGGCTGAAATACTAACAGGCCCTTAAAGCTTTGGAGCTCCCCACACCAGCCAGTGATTAAATTATCATGTGCAGGCATCATGGGGTTTTCTGCCATATGAGCAAATGAAATGTTGAGTGTTATTTCAACACTGCACTTTTCTCTCCAGCTCTTTTGGTCTTTTGTCACCTCTGTAAATGAGAGGCAGTTCATATGACCTTTTGTTTTACTTTTCTATCCTCTGCTATTTCCAGAACGAGAGAGCTAAGGTGCACTTCTTTTCCCTTACTCCTTCCTTCCCTCTGGGCCTCCTCCTTGGCTGGGGACTAAGGACTCTGGCTTCCTTAAGTTTGCTTCCATTCCTGGAACAGTACCCACGGGGCGATGTGACTGTAGCGACTCCTTGGGTATCACCAACACAGTCACGCATGCAAGGACATTTCCTGTGGTCAAGTTCTCCCAACCTTTTATAAAACCTCAGGCATGCTGGGTAAGCTCATGCTTCTGGCCCACCACCTGCTTCCTTTGCTCATGTAGTTCTGCTGTCCACAGGTATGTAGTCCTAACGACAAAGCACCACGAAGGCTTCACAAACTGGCCAAGCCCTGTATCTTGGAACTGGAACTCTAAGGATGTGGGTCCCCATCGTGATTTGGTGGGTGAGTTGGGAAAAGCCCTCCGGAAGAGGTAAGTATCTACAGATGGTTACTCTTGTCATCTCTTTTGATCTATCATTCCTCTGTGCTCTCGTGTGTTTTCTAAGTTTGCATGTAGTGAGTAAACCTGAAGGTTTCTGGCCTTTGCATTAGCAGTGTTTGATGCTCGGCACTTTTCATGTGACCGAAGGTGGTATCATCAGAGAAGTTCATGGCCCTGTTTAGGTGAGGGATACCCAGTGTAGACCACAGTGCCTCATATGCATTCTGTGAAGGATTCTTTCTGGAAGGCCTTCCAACCCAAGGCCTTTTCCAGTGTCTGATGAAGGACTGGCTCTGTCATCTTTGTGTCCCCCTCAGCTGTCAACATGCAGCTCTGTGGGTATTCAGAGAAAGTTTGGATGAATCCTAGGTCAAGAGGGAACTGACAAAGGTGGCAGTTAAGGGAGCCAGAAAGTGAGGTAAGGAGCAGCTTGGTTGATTCTAATTGATGCTCCCTAATGTTTGCCACTTAATAAGAAGTAACTTCCCAAGATCAAATAGCTTGGAAGTGGCAAAGGTGGGATTTGAACCAGTTATTCTGGTTTGGGACCTTACAGCTCTGGGTATGATTACCTATAGAGAGGAAAAGTGGTATTTGTACTTTACCCCATCTCAGCTTTATTGTGATTTGGTAAACTTGATGCCTTACTTAAGGAGTAGGCCAGCTACCTGTTTGTATAAATAAAGTTTGATTGGAACACAGTTACACCCACTTATTTGTGTGTTGTGTCTGTGGCTGCTTTCAAGTTACAATTTCAGAGTTGGAATAGAGACCGCAAGGCTTGCAAAGACTAAAATGCTATGTGGCCCATAAAGAAAGCATCTGCTGACTCTGGTCACCTGGTCAATATTCAGTTTCCCAGTGCTGTGCACAAAGTCCTGCAAAGCAAAAACAGTCCTGCTATAAAAGTCAGATGTTGATTAGACTGGACTTTATGATCCTTGATTTTTACCTTCTTTGTATCTATTTAGTCCCCGAGTCTTATGATGAAATATCTAACTCTAATTCTTTCTGTCTTATCTGTGCTGTTGCAATGTTATCCTTACTTCTCACTGCAGGGTGGCGTGTCTGTGACACTCACCATTCATAACTCCAAACAAGTTTTATTGTGTACAAAAATAGGTCACTTTGACTCTTTTTCATTTTGGTTGAGAATTCTTAACATTTTAATGTTAAGAACTGTTAGTAAATCTTAAATGAAACAATAAACCCATGTTCATTAATTTCAACTATGTAGAAAATGTTACTAATGATTATTTCCGAGTGATGAGATTTGGGATGTTTTATTCTTTATACTTTTTTCTATTTTCCAGTATCTCTACAATATGTATTCTTACGACTGACAGAGAAAACAGTTTTTAAAAAGGACTGTGTATTATTACTGAGATAATGGACATAGATAAAAGATGGTTTAAATGACATTTGAGGGGCTCTTGGGTGGCTCAGTCGGTTAAGCATCTGCCTTCGGCTCAGGTCATGATCTCCGGGTCCTGGGATTGAGTCCCGCATCGGGCTCCCTGCTCGGTGGAGAGTCTGCTTCCCCCTCTGCCCTCCCCCCACTGCTTGTGCTCTCTCCCTGTCTCTCCAAATAAATAAATAAAATCTTTTTAAAAAGTGACATTTGATGTTAAGGTATTTATGTATAGAAAGTAATCCTGTGTGTGATCAAAAACCCAGTCCTTTTGTTTAAGTTAATGATAAGAGATAATTTAAGGAAATGGTTGCGATCCCACTTGCCCCTGCACACCCTTACTGGTGAGTTTCACTGAGATGTAAAAATGCTGCCACTGGTTTTTCTTAAACTACATTATTTTTTCTTTGTTTAATGGACATTTGCTGTTCTGTTTTTCTGTTTAAGGAACATACGTTACGGACTCTATCACTCACTTTTAGAATGGTTCCACCCACTCTACCTACTTGATAAGAAAAATGGCTTCAAAACACAGTATTTTGTCCGTGCAAAAACAATGCCAGAGCTATATGACCTTGTTAACAGGTAAAAAAAAAAAAAAAAAAAAAAAATATATATATATATATATATATATATATATATATATATATACACACACACACACACATGTTTTTGTCCTTATGACTTTTATCAGTGAAATCAGAGCTTCCTATAGGATACTGTTAAGTTTGGGGGAGGGGGAAAGGAAGGAATGTGGACAAAAATCTGTAAGACATCAAAATGAAAATAGTGGTTTGCATTAAGACAGAATATATTTTTTCCTCCTACTGTTCAAAACTCCCCTAATGTGGTCATATTGCTTTTGTAGATTGAAACAAACAAACCGAGGGTGGGGGTTTTAAGTTTTTAAGTCAAAACTTCAGTCCCTCCTTGCATGCTGGTTTCTTTGTCAGGACCTTGGAGAGGGGCAACAGGGCCCCAAGGACCCAACAAAAGATTTGGCATCTGGCAAGATTTGCATTTGAATCCTGGCTCTTGTTACTCACCAGCCTTAAAGAACCACCCTTCTGAGCCTCAGGGTCTCAGTCGGTAAAGTAGGGAAATAATGCCTTCGATACAGGGCTCAGAATAACATGTGAAAAGTATCTGTCACCTTGCCTGGTACAGAATAAGGGTGGTGTTATCATTTTTTTTTCTTAAAATGATCACTTTCACATTGGGATTCATCACTAGTCTTCACCATGCTTTATTTCTAATTTGCCCTTGCACCTGGGGGCTGGCTCATAGAGGATGGTGGACCTTTAAAGCTCTAGGCAGGCGCAGCCATCTCTTCCTGGATTTTCATTTTAGACCAAACCAAAACAAAATTCCTTGCATCCAGGTGACCTCCCTAGGGAAATAGTAGGTTGTAAGAGACCAGCAGAGGCTTGGAATTAGACAGAACTGGATCTGAAGTCCACTTCTTTCTCTTGCTGGCTGTGTGGCCTTGAATAAACTCCTTAATCTTTCTAGATCTCAGTTGCTTTATCTGTGAAATGGGGATAATATACACCGCAGGGTTGTTGTGACAACTAATGAGGTAATGAGTATAAAGTGCCTAGTACAGTTTCTTGTCCACAGTAAAACACAGACCATCTGCATTATACTTGCCTCTTAGACAGGTAAGCTTTTCCCTGGAGTCCACTTGCTGTCCTGATTACAGAGGACAGCATAGGATCAGGCATCGACAGATATGCATTTGAGTTCGAGCTCCTATTGCTTGTAAATTTTGTCACCTAAAACAAATTGCCCTAAAAAAAAAAAAAAATTGCCCTGCTGAGCATCCAGTTCTTGCTCTCTAAATGGGAATAATCATGCTTACCTTATAGGTATGTGTGCGTGCACACACACACACTCATGCCACATAGAGGTCAGAATGGAATATGTGAGGGGCGCCTGGGTGGCTCAGTTGGTTAAGCGACTGCCTTCGGCTCAGGTCATGATCCTGGAGTCCCTGGATCGAGTCCCGCATCGGGCTCCCTGCTCGGCAGGGAGCCTGCTTCTCCCTCTGACCCTCCCCCCTCTCATGTGCTCTCTCTCTCTCTCATTCTCTCTGTCTCAAATAAATAAATAAAATCTTTAAAAAAAAAAAAGAATGGAATATGTGAAAGGTGCAGCTGTTGCTTAGGTGGACTGTAGAGATCCCTTATAGTTGAAGCTTTGGGTAGTTGTCCAAAACAATGCATTTCCTGAAATAGTTCAAGCTCTTAAAACATTTTTTTCAATTAAAAATACAGATAATTTTTTAAATTTAAATTGTAGTTAATAAGTAATGTATTATTAGGTTCAGGGTAGAGTTTAGTGATTCATTAGCTGCATGTAACATCCAGAGCTCATCATAACACGTGCCCTCCTGAATGCCCATCACCCGGTTACCCCATCACCCCACCCACCTCCCCTCCAGCAACCCTCCGTTTGTTTCCTAGAGTTAAGAATCTCTTATGGTTTGCCTCTCTCTCTGTCTTTAACTATTTTATTTTGGCTTCCCTTCCCCTATGTTCATGTGTTTTGTTTCTTAAATTCCACCTATGAGTGAAATCATATGGTATTTGTCTTTCTCTGACTGACTGACTTCACTTAGCGTAATACATTCTAGTTCCATCCACATCTTTGCAAATGGCAGGATTTCATTGTATTCGATGGCTCAGTAATATTCCTCTCTGTGTGCCTGCACGTGTGTATGTGAGTGTATGCCACATCTTCTTTATTTTCCGTATTTTGGCAATTGTGGACATTGCTGCTAATAAACATTGGTGTGCACATACCCCTTCAAATCACTATTTTTGTATCCTTTGGATAAATACCTAGTAGTGCAATTGCTGGGTCATAGAGTAATTCTATTTTTAACTTTTTGAGGAACCTCCATACTGTTCTCCAGAGTGGCTGCCCCAGTTTGCGTTCCCACCAACAGTGCAAGAGGGTTCCCCTTTCTCCACATCCTCGCCAACATCTATTGTTTCCTAACTTGTTAATACATCTTAAAAGCAGGAAGCTTAATTCTATAGTTCTGGAGCACCACTCTTTTCATTGGAATTAGCTGGTGCAAGGAAACCAAATTGTTTATATACTGATTACAACCCTATTTTTTTCAGAAGACATCGAAAAAAGATTAGGAGGAAATGTTCCAAAATACTGTATATTAAACAGTGGTTATGTGAGCGACCTTAACAGAGTTATGGTGTTGTTTTGTCTCTTTAGTTTTCTACATTGTCTGCACCATGGTAATTATATGGTACTTTCAAAATGGGAGAAAATCTTAAAATATCTGTTACAAAACAGATCCATAAGACTTTATTGTGAATAGATTCAGATAACAAACTTTGTCCTAATCACGTGTCTTTCAGGTATGAACCTGACTTGCTTTGGTCTGATGGAGAGTGGGAATGTCCTGATACTTACTGGAACTCTACGGTGTTTCTTTCTTGGCTCTACAATGATAGCCCAGTCAAGGCATGTGATTACATGACTTCTTTCTTATTTATCTGTTATGTGAAAAGAAAGAATAAGGAGCCAAGATCTGGAGTAATAACAGTGACAACAGCAACAATAATAAATACCAGTAGTGACACGGAGGTGGTAGGGACCAGGGGACTTCGTGGATGTTAAAGGTTTCTCCTTTAATTCTTTTCCCCACCTTCCTTAGAGTATAAGCTTTCTTTTTCTCCTTTAATTCTTGATTTCGACAACAGAGGTATACAGCTTGTTAAATTTAAGTAGTAGAATAGAAGCAGTACGTAAAAGTCCCAGAGACTTAGAGAAAGTAAAATAAACTATTAAGCACGCAAACATTATAAATGAGAAAAACATCCAAAAAATTAATATACAAAACATCTACAATGAAATGATAAGAATAAGATGCAAATATTTATGACCTCATCCAATCTACACTGGTTATGCAGTTTAACTCTCAAGAAGGAATTTCATTTCTCTTACATCCACCATAGATTAGGTGAGATCACACCTGGATCCTACCTACCCGGATCAGTGTTCCCCATTTAAGTTAGATAAATAACTCTGATGTGATGTCATATTGTCCACATACCTGTCTACTCAGCCAGTCTGTGCTGGATCTCTAAGGGCAAGAACTGTTTTATTCACCTTGGATACCCCAGTACAAGAATCATAGTAGTGTTAATCATTAACATTAAGATATTCTGAGGGGCGCCTGGGTGGCTCAGTCGTTTAAGTGTCTGCCTTCGGCTCAGGTCATGATCCCAGGGTCCTGGGATCGAGTCCCGCATCGCGCTCCTTGCTCAGCGGGAAGCCTGCTTCTCCCTCTGCCTGCTGCTCCCCCTGCCTATGCTCTCTTTCAAATAAATTTTTTAAAAATCTTTAAAAAAAAAGATATTCTGCATAATGATTTCTCATAGTTCAGCAAAGATTTGAAGGAAAGAAAATATTTGCTGACTTTTCTTTACCTAGGAAAAGAAAGTCAGGGCCACGTAGTGGAAAGCATCCTGGGCTGAGTTCACATACCTGATTCACAGTCCCAGCCTCCTGAAACTCTGCCCGGGGGTGTGACCTCGGGCACGTCTTCTTCTCCCCATTTCTCCTTTAATGGAAGAAGTGGTTTACCAGATGATCTTTAAAACAGGCTCTCCCAGCTCTGACATTACATGTGGCTTGACTAGGGTTTCTCAGCCTCAACGCTATTGACATTTGGGGCTGGATAATTTGTTGTGAGGGGACTGTCTTGTTTGTCCTCTGACGTTTAACAGAATGCCTGGCCTCCACCCACTAGATGGCAGTAGCACCACCCCAACGGTGGCAACCAAAAATGTCTCTAGACTTTGCCAAAAGTCTCTTAAGCAAAATAGCCCCCAGTTGAGAACCGTTCTAGACCAGGTCTCTTCATTATATCCAAATACACAATTTACCAAACTGCATTATGTAAGGAAACGAAGTGGTTTCACCCCAGATGACCCAGTACTCTCTTCTTTTAGGATCAGGTAGTGGTAAATGACCGGTGGGGTCAGAATACTTCCTGTCACCATGGAGGATACTACAACTGTCAAGATAAATTCAAGCCAGAGATCTTGCCAGATCACAAGTGGGAAATGTGTACCTCCATAGACAAGATCTCCTGGGGCTTTCGTCGTAACATGGTGATGGGGGACATTGCAAGTGACTGTGAAATCATTTCGGTAAGAGCACCTGTGAGTTATTTGTTAACTACTGTCTCAAATTAGCCTTCTAACTAGGAGTGATGGGAGCACTCTGGATGGAAGTGCAGGTCGATAGAACCCCCTGGGGTCATTGAACATACCCATAGAAACCTGTCCTGGGGCATCTGGGTTGGTTAAGCGTCCAACTTCTGGTTTCAGCTCAGATCATGACCTTGGAGTTGTGAGATTGAGCTCCACATCAGACTCCGCGCTCAGCGTGGAGTCTGCTTGGTATTCTCTCTCCCTCTCCCTCTGCCCCTCCACCCCCCTCAAATAAATAAATAAATCTTAAAAAAAAAAGGGGGGGGTGCCTGGGTGGCTCAGATGGTTAAGCGTCTGCCTTCGGCTCAGGTCATGATCCCAGGGTGCTGGGATTGAGCCCCGCATCGGGCTCCCTGCTGAGCAGGGAGCCTGCTTCTCTCTCTGCCTCTCTCTCTCTCTCTCTCATGAATAAATAAATAAAATCTTTTAAAAAAAAAAACTGTCCTAAGGAAATAATTGTAATTACAGAATAAAGTCTTACATATAGAGATGTTCTTCCCAGAATTATTTGCAGTTGGATATGTGGGTTGTTTTAATTTCTTACAGCCATAAAGGGATATTTAAGTAGATTTGGGGATTTTCCTTAACCATTAAAATTTTTATGAATGTAATATAGGTCAATGCCTAGGGTTTGAATGAAAAACTAAGTTACAGATTATCACAACTATATAAAATATATTTCCACTGCACAGGGAAAAGACCAGAGGGAGTATCAAAAGTTGATGGTGTGCTGTCTTTGGGGGTCCTGTAACACAGTCTTTTTTCAGTTTTTTGAATGTAATTTTTCTGGGTCCACTTGAAGCGTACCCGTTTGAGATCACAGTAAACACGCACACACATGCACACACCATGCACACCACACCACTCCAGAAGCCTTGAAGAATATATCCCTTTACAGCATGTTTTTCCAAAGGGACAGCATACACATTTATGTCACCCATTTCATACAGAGTGTCCCAAATTCTGCATATCTCTTCCATGTCCCCCAAGTCTCCCTGGCACCCACTCAGAACCTCTGTCCTCGGGGCGCCTGGGTGGCTCAGTTGGTTAAGCGACTGCCTTCGGCTCAGGTCATGATCCTGGAGTCCCTGGATCGAGTCCCGCGTCGGGCTCCCTGCTCGGCGGGGAGTCTGCTTCTCCCTCTGACCCTCCCCCCTCTCATGCTCTCTGTCTCTCATTCTCTCTGTCTCAAATAAATAAATAAAATCTTTAAAAAAAAAAAAAAAAAGAACCTCTGTCCTCTGACCCCCATACTCTCCTCACGGCTCCATGTGATCACAGCCAGGTGCTTTGTTCTCAGCTTCCCCGATCACACTCTGTGCTGCCGACGCACGGCCCATTCCACTGCACGCCACCCCCGGGGAAGCACAGGCCCGTGATTACTCCATGGAATTCAAATTAATGTATTTCTCCACTTTGTAGCAGGATTTTTCAGTTTTCTCATATAAGCCCGTCCTGCTTTTATGATGACAAAAAATAGCCTTTTCAAAAGGGTAAAGGATATTCACCAAAGGAGAGAATGTGCCCTAGATTCTTTTTCTTCTCTTAATACCTGTGTGCTGTAGGCGTTATGCTGGGCTTGGCAGTCGTCACTAGGATTTCATTGTTTCTTTTCTCTCCAGGAACTGGTTCAGACCGTGAGCTTGGGAGGCAACTACCTTCTCAATATTGGACCAACTAAAGATGGACTGATTGTTCCCATCTTCCAAGAAAGACTTCTTGCTGTTGGGAAGTGGCTGAACATCAATGGGGAGGCTATCTATGCCTCTAAACCATGGAGGATACAACTGGAAAGGAACACGACGTCCGTGTGGTGAGCTTGTCCTCTGCTGCGTGCGGGAACAGGACAAGCCCCTCCCCAGCTGGCGTCTCCTCGGGTCCACAGTGTTACAAGCCAGGGTAGAAGCCATCTTGAGGAAACCCCAAAGCTGTGCTTCTCCTGTTAAATTTGTACCCCAATTTATGTATTAAGCCACCAAGATATCTTTGACTAGTGAGAGGTATGGTTGGCTTGGTGAAAGGAGGAGCTACAGAGTGTCTGTGAATATACTTGACCTGTTACCCTGCCTCCTAAAAATAGTAATAGCCAATGCTTGCACAGCACCTCCAGTGTTTAAGGCTCCAATCCAAATTCTTTCCACTCACTGAATCCCCTCAACAATCCCACCAAGTGGATACTGTATCCCCATGTTACAGGTGAGAAGGGGGACCCAGGGCAGCTCTATACCTTGCCTAGAATCACAAAGCTAACTCATGGAGAAGTCGTGATTCAAACTTGGATTTATGGATCTAGTTATTTGACCTTGGGCCTGTGTTTTTCAAGTGTGAAATGGGGTGATGATACTTAGCTTCCTGTGGTTGTTACGGAGGTGAAGTGTGTTAATTTATGTAAAGCGCCCCAAAAGAGCACCAGGTGCATGCAAAGTGTTCGGTGAAAGGCATCTGCGCGTGTGGTACCATCCCACATAGCTCTTTGCATCAGGGGAAACCCGTTCATCCTTCTGTTTGGGGTGGATTCCTATTTAGTGATTTTCACCCTCTTCTCTAAGCATGGTGAACTCTCAGAACAAATCCATCTTCACTGCACATCTTATTGGGTCCTCTGTTATTTTCCCATTGATCTAGAGTTGCAAAAAGATTTGAATAAAAAGGCAAATGGCTTCAGTGTGAAATAACTAGTGCGAGCGTTAAAAATGTTCAAAGAAAACTTATAACCCAATAGAGAGAGAAAATGGAAGCGATCCCCAGAAAGAGTCTTACAGGGCTGCTTTCTTTTTTTTTTTTTTTTAAGATTTTATTTTATTTATTTGACAGAGAGAGAGAGAGAGAGACAGCTAGAGAGGGAACACAAGCAGGGGGAGTGAGAGAGGGAGAAGCAGGCTTCCCGCCGAGCGGGGAGCCCGATGCGGGGCTCGATCCCAGGACCCCGGGATCATGACCTGAGCTGAAGGCAGACGCTTAACGACTGAGCCACCCAGGCACCCCTTTTCTTAATGTCTATTAAGGTCCCACAGACCTTAATAGGTATTGAGTTCATAGCACTGGCAGACCCAAGGTGTTGGGATCGGTAGATAATTGTAAGGGGGATATATGAGGCTATGTGTCAGGGTCCCAAGCCAGGTATTTCTGACACTGACCTTTCTTTTCTTCCCAGGTATACCTCAAAAGGAACAGCTCTTTATGCCATTTTCCTGCACTGGCCAGAAAATGGAGTCTTAAACCTTGTATCCCCTGTAACTACCTCGACTACACAGGTGAGGAGCCTCTGTCAGTCCGATCCGAGAGGTACCTTTCCTAAAGGAATTGGAGGTCTTTTCTACTTCTTCCTTCCTGCCCCAGGTCTCCCCTATATTGACAACCCCCCCCCAGACTATCTGCCCTGCCCTGGCCCAGTGTGGCTGTCTTCCATCATGTTCAAGCCATATTCTGTACTCAGTGCGACATCCCCTTTTGCTTTCTGCAGATAACAATGCTGGGGATCCAGAAAGATCTGAAGTGGTCCACAGGTCCAGAAGAAGGTCTGCTCATTTATCTGCCCCAGTTACCACTCTTTACTCTGCCAGTTGAGTTTGGTTGGACTATCAAGCTGACAGGAGTGCATTGATCATTGGAGTTCAGGCAGAACTGCCTCCTATTTGCTGCTTTGGTTTTCCTCTTATAGCACCGTCATTGTAATAAACTACTTCTCTACTCAGCGATGGCTTTTCCAACACATTTTAATCAAAGGAACTGAGTGCATTATACTGATGTCTCAATGGATCAGAGATCTGAGATCCATTGCTAGCATACCTCTCCCTGATCAGCAGGAGGCATAACCAGTTAAGCTCTGAATTCATCCTTCTATTCCTAACCTGGGAAATTATCTATCCCGGAAACTTCCCTCCATTTTCTATGTTTGAAACCTGTCTCCTTAATCAATGACTTCAGATAAGGAATGAGCCAAGTCACCCTATTGCCTATGGAAGGAGGTGAAAAGGATTTGGCAAGTTCAACCATACGCTGTGTTTTTAGCATCAGTTGTCACCAGCACCACTCGGAGAGGAAGAGAACCTGGAAGGGAAGGAAAAGGCTTGCTAGGGCTGCTAGTGATCAGCCCTTTGGAAGTTTCCAAAGCAAACTAGGGGCTCAGAAAGTCAGTCTGTTTACAGTGATCTTATGAAGAAAAGGAATGTGATTCTGCCCTGCTTTTTAAAATATCAAATAAATAAATTTTTATGTCAGATCGTTTCTACCAAAAAGCATGTTGTAGTTTTCTTCTCCCAGTTTCTTATGGACTGTTTATGAAAAGATTTGTTTCTGTTTAAAAAAAAAAAAAAAAAGGACTTGCCAAGTCTCCTTAATGCAGAACAAAGAACAAAATTCCTTTGGTTTTCTGCTTCTCACTTCTAGTACCATTCTTTTGAGTTGGCTATCAGTTCAGCCCCTTTAATTATTATAGATCTAATCAGATTTTCTATTTCCTTTTTATTTAATAGATATGTTTATACATTTTTACCCAACATTTGAGGAATATTTGTTTTTCTCAAGCACATGGAATATTTACAAATGTAAATACCAAAGGAGCATTATCATACAGACTTGTATGTCTGCAACATAATTAAAGGACCATAAAGAATAAAAACTTGGGAGGAAAAAAAACTATATGGAAATTTTAAAACACACTTCAAAATAACTCACTGATCAAAGAAGGCACCATACAAGGAATTAGAAAATACTTAGAATAATAATGAGACCACTATGTACTGAACTTTGTGAGATGGAATGAAGTCTTTAAAGAGGATCCAGGGAAGATGGCAGAGAGGAGGCACCAGGAATCTGTCTTCCGACCTAGACGACAAGTACACTGGCAGGATTTGGTGGAACTCCTATAGAAGTCCGGAGTCTACGAAGGCTCCAGCTTCCAGAGGAAGATTCGGATGATAAATTATGGTTTTGGTCAATTCACCTACCTATCCCCCAGCCCCAGGCATGTAGCAGGCAGACATGAACATGTTCTGGAGCAACTTGCACACAGCTTGTGGGAGCCAACGTGGGCAAAAAGGACCCTGTCCTCCAGATATCTGGGATTTGAGCCCTGATCTCTAATTGCTGCTTCTGATCACAGAGCTATAGACAAAGAGGTGGGCCGACTTTGTTGTACCCCTCCCCCCCCACTGCTGCAAGTTCCTCCTCTGGCTGAAGTGACTTCCAGTGGATTTAAAGGGCTGATGCCCCCCCCATCCAAATATTCCCCCTTTTGGGAGCAGACATTAAAAACTAGGACATTCAAAAACAACTGCATGGGGCGCCTGGGTGGCTCAGATGGTTAAGTGTCTGCCTTCGGCTCAGGTCATGATCTCAGGGTCGTGGGATCGAGTCCCGCATCGGGCTCCTTGCTTAGCAGGGAGCCTGCTTCTCCCTCTGCCTGCCACTCCCCCAGCTTGTACTCTCCCTCTCTCTCTCTCTGGCAAATAAATAAATAAAATCTTTTTTTTTTTTTAAGATTTTATTTATTTGTCCGAGAGAGAGAGAGAGAGAGAGCACAAGCAGAGGGAACGGCAGAGGGAGAAGCAGGCTCCCCGTGGAGCAGGGAGCCCGATGCAGGACTCGATCCCAGAACCCTGGGATCATGACCTGAGCTGAAGGCAGACGCTTAACGACTGAGCCACCCAGGCGTCCCTAAAATCTTAAAAACAAAACAACTGCGTGTATGAGGAAAATTAGAAAGTGACCACGCATGCCCAGGGGAAGGCCTAAGTTTATACCTCTGGCTCATCTGCAACACAGAGACCGCCTACAACAATCAAAATGCAAAAATCATAACAAGCCCAGCAAGCCCTGGGAAGTGGGGGGCGGGGAGGAGGGGGAATCTGATTCGCAGAGTTACCCCATTATTAGATTCCAATGTCTAGATTTCAACAAAAAAACATCACAAGGCATGCAGAAATACAGGAAAGCATGACCCATTCAAAAGAAAAAAGTAAATCAACAGAAACTGAAATAAGCCCTGAAAAAGACCTGGTGGCAGATAAACTAGATGGACCTTAAAACAGCTGCCTTAAAGATGCTCAAAAAACTAAAGGAAGCTGTGGGGGAAGTTAAGAAAATGATACATGAATGAAATGGATATGTCAATAGATGGCTAGATAACCTAAGAAGAAACCACACACATACACAGTTCTGGAGCTGAAAAGTACAACTGAAATGAGAAATTCACCAGAGGGATTCAAAGGCAGATTTGAGTAGGCAGAAGAAAGAATACTGCACTTGAGTCCCAGGAAAGAAGAAAGACAGAAGAAAAGACCATATGTTAGAGCAGAGATAAACAAAATAGAGAAAAACAACAGAAGATAAATGAAACAGTTGGTTTTTCGAAAAGATCAGCAAAATGACAAACCTGTAGCTAGAACGGACTAAGGAAAAAGAAAAGATTCAAATTATTAAAATGAAAATTGGGACATTACTACTAATTCTACAGAAATAAAAGGATTATAAGAGAACTAAAGAGCAATTGTATTCCAACAAATTGGATAACTAGATGAAGTGGGAAATTTCCTAAAAACATGAAACCGACCAAGACTAAATCACAAAGAAATAGAAAACCTGAATAGATGTATAACTAGTAAGGAGATTGAATCAGTAATTTTAAGATCTCCTGACAAAGAAAAGCCCTGGAACCAATAGCTTCTTTGGTGAATTCTACCAAACATTTAAAGAAGGACTAACTTTTCCAGAAGAGTAAAGAGGAGAGAAAACTTCCTAACTTACTCTATGAGGCCAGCATTAACGTGATGCCAAATCCAGACACACTACTAGAAGATTTATGATCACTGATGCAAAACTCTTCAACAAAACACTAGCAAACCAAAATCAGCAAATTCGAAGTATTACACACCATCACCAAGTGGGATTTATTCATGGGATGCAAGGATGGTTCAAGATACAGAAATCAATCATTGTAATAAACCACATTAACAAAACAAAGGGAAAAGAAACACGATCGTCTCAATTGAGGCAAAAAAGCATTTGACAAAATTCAACACCTTTTTGTGATAAATACACTCAAACTGGGAGTAGAGGGGCACCTGGCTGGTTCAGAGGAGCATGCAACTCTTGATCTCAGGGTCATAAGTTCCAGCCCCACATTGGGTGTAGAGATTACTTAAAAGTCTTTTTTAGGGAGGCCTGGGTGTCAGTTAAGCATCTGCTACAGCTTGGGTCACAATCCCAGGGTCCCAACATTGGGCTCCTTGCTCATTGAGTCCCACATTGGGCTCCTTGCTCATTGGGGAGCCTGCTTCTCCCTCTGCCTGCTCTGCCTGCCGCTCCTCCTGCTTGTGCTCTCTCTGACAAATAAATCTTTTTTAAAAAAATAAAAAAGATTTTATTTATTTATTTGACAGAGAGCGCATGTGAGTGCACGAGCAGGGGGAGGAACACAGGGAGAGAGAGAAGCAGACTCCCTGCTAGGCAGGGAGCCCAATGTGGGGCTCCATCCCAGGACCCCAAGATCATGACCTGAGCCAAAGGCAGACACTTAACCGACTGAGCCTCCCAGGTGCCGCTAATTCCTGTCTTCTTTAATTTCAGGAATTGTTTATAGTTTTCAGTGCACAATTCTTGAAAGTCAAAAATAAATATGTCATAATAGTCATGAAAATCATACAAAAATATATTTTTTAAAGATTTTATTTATTTGAGAGAGAGAATGAGAAAGAGAGAGCACGAGAGTGGGGAGGGTCAGAGGGAGAAGCAGACTCCCCGCCGAGCAGGGAGCCCGATGCGGGACTCGTTACCGGGACTCCAGGATCATGACCTGAGCCGAAGGCAGTCGCTTAACCAAGTGAGCCACCCAGGCGCCCAATACAAAAATATTTTTAAATAAATGTCATGCTAATAGTTTTGGGTCATGTTCAGTCCTCTAGCTGCGGGTTTGAGAATTCTGTGAGTACTGCTCTATTATGGTGGAGAAAATTTGTGATGCTGCCAAAGCATAACAGAACACTTACCAGGTCTTGTTCTTTCCCTAGCTAAAATATGAGGCCCCTGAAGGCAGGGACAGACAGTGCCCTCTCTGCCTCCCCTGAGAATGCCAGTCAGTACACCTACCATTTGGATATCCACCCACCCAGTAGCCACAGTGACTATTCACAAAATGCAAATATGATCATCTCTTTTTGCTTAAAACCCATCAAATGCATTGCTATGTGTTCTTCAAAGTGGGTGGTATGGTCCCTGTCAAGCTCTCCCATCTTAATAGGAAGTCTGTCCATACTCCCTCGCAGCTCCGCAGTCATTCTGGCTTTCTTTCCATCTTTCTAAAACAAATTTTTCCCAAACATTTCTAATTGCAGCCTACAGTAAGAAATTTATTTTACATTGCAACCTGGTTGACATATATAAAAATAAGATTTGCAAAGCAATAGCTTTATTACTTATGCAATACACTCCAATGCCTTTTTTTTTTAAGTTGGCACCCACTTGGGGCGCCTGGGTGGCTCAGTTGGTTAAGCGACTGCCTTCGGCTCAGGTCATGATCCTGGGGTTCTGGGATCGAGCCCCGCATCGGGCTCTCTGCTCAGCGAGAGGCCTGCTTCTCCCTCTCCCACTCCCCCTACTTGTGTTCCCCCTCACGCTGTCTCTCTCTCTATTAAATAAATAAATAAAATCTAAAAAAAAAAAAAGTTGGCACCCACTAGATTACTGTTATGACCAATTAATGGGGTATAACATGCATTTTGAAAAACACTGCTCTAAGCATTCAATTTCTTTGCCTCAGGGTCTTCGCATATGTTATGCTCTCTGGAAAGCTTTTCTTGTGTCCTCTTCACCTGGATAAATCTTACCCATTTTAAAGGTATGAAATCAAAGGATGCTCTCGCTCACCAGCGCGCGCGCGCTCTTTCCCTCCCGTCGACTGCCTACATTTGAATCCTGGAGATCGTGATGGAAGAGTTAACACGGGCGAAGAACTCAGAACAGCGCATGGCAAATAGTAATGCTTCGTCTTTTTATTGGGAAAGATAGTAATTATACAACTATTTGTGTGATTATTAATGTCTTCCAAGAGCTCCCAAACTCTAAACCCCTTGATTATTTTTTGTTCATTTTCATAGTCCTAGCCTCACTTTTCCATGGCAAGTAGAAAGCACTCAGAAGGGCGCCTGGGTGGCTCAGTTGGTCAAGCGACTGCCTTCGGCTCAGGTCATGATCCTGGAGTCCCGGGATCGAGTCCCGCACCGGGCTCACTGCTCAGCAG